AGGGGGCGGGCGGGGCCCGGATTGGCCGGAGGCCGTGGGGCGGGAACGAGGGGGCGGGACGGGCGCGGGTAGCGCTGTGCGTGAGGGGAGGCGGGGCGGGGCCTGGGCGACGTCCCCGTCCCTTGCGCTGTGCCTGCCCTCCTGCGTAGGGCAGCGCCACCCGTCAAAAAACGTTTTTTTTTTGTTTGTTTGTTTTGTAACCACAGGGGAGACAATAAATAAATAAGCCGTTACGAGATCCTTCATTTCCTTCATGCAATATCAGAGGTTTAAAAAAGGCTTCCTGGTAAAAGAGCCCCCCTTCCCCCCCCATGGGTGCTGAGATTTTAACTGTTAATATCCTTATTCCTGTGGAAGTTGCAAATTCTGGTGGAAGTGTATGTGCATATTCATTCTGCATAGGAAACATGGGGGGAAAAGAAATTTGAGAAAATTTTGAGAAAAAGAAATAGGCTATTTTTGAAGTATGAAAATTTCAGGAATTTGTCAAAATTTTAAGCTGGAATGAAAGAAAGGTTGAGCTATTTATTTAATAAAGGTGGTGTGATAATTCAGTGAGCTGTTCTTGACAAACCACTTCTGGTATCCAGACAGCTTGGCCTACTGGCTTTCTTTTAGATAGCCTCAATAGTAAGGTTCTTGGCTGAACTCAAAACATAGTTTAAAAATATACTTTATTATAAGAATGTACAGCTATCCATAAAATTGTATTAAACAATGTTTTGTATTACAGTCATCCAAGGAATCAGAGGGAGGCTGGCCGTTCCTCCTTTCTTAACAGGACCAGATAATACTCTACAGCTAAATTAACACTGATGGAATAACAGTAACTTTGCTCATGTATTAAATTAGGAAATTGTCTGTTTCATAAGTGGCATGTCAAAAGTCAGGTCTTGCTTATACATCTAGGCTGCTCAAGTAATTAGAAATCAAACCTTTGGGTTTCCAAAATAGAACAAAACTTAATGGTTATGTTCAACATGAGAATATATTATTTGAAGTATTGAATATTAAAATGAATGTTTGATTACAAGCACTGCAAGTGCACCACTTTGGGCAAGATTCACTGACAAAGAAACACTGTAACAGTAAAATAAAATTACACTTACAGGTCTATGTGGAGTTTTGTTTTTTATTTATTTATTGGAGCTAGTCTGGCATTGATTCCTAGAGCAGTGTTTATGAAATCTTATTCCCTGGAAGCTTTCCTCCAACTCACTGCTACCAATCCGTCCATGAAGATCACTAAAGTATGGTGGATAATGTAGTATACCTGTAGGAAGAAAATTGAATTTACACTGACTGTCAGCCTTTGAATCATGTGAATTGTGCCTGTCTTAAACTGGAAGGATGGGTTTATACAGACTAATTCTTTATGGTTAACAGAAGGGGCAAAATCTGGCCCTTGGCATATAGTTAATGTATTTATCTCCCCAAAATGCAGATGGTGCTAATGGCAGCTGATTTTTGGCATCGTTATTGCCATGTTCTTTCATCCCACAGACATCACTTCTGCTGCCAGAAATATTCAGGACACATGTGAAAGAAATTAAAGTTTTGTCGCTGCAAACGTACTCAGGCTATGGGTGAATGGGGTGAGGGCGTTGTCATTGCAGGTCCTAGGAGGCTCTAAAGCCCTGCTCTTGTATGTGTACAAAAAAATGCTGACATTTGGGGTTGAGAAAAGCCTTGTTTGAGGACGATAGTCAGCCATGCTTTCAACCAACTCAGAACAGATATTGCAGCTGTCTGTGTACATGCAGCCTGAGTTTTTTGCCTTGTTGGATTTGGTAAGGAGTCAGACCATTGCTGGATATTTTATTAGTTAGTTGGATATTTACCCGCAAATACTGGCAGGTTGAACTTTATTGCTTGTGGTATAGGGAGTGACTGAAATTTAGAGACTTTTTGCTTTTGGCTTGTTTGGTTTTGAATCAGTGTGGAATACATATGTGGAATACATATCCTAAATAGCTTTTACAGGCACTCACTATGCAGAAATTGCAGAAGTTGCTAGGACTCACAGCATGGTCAATCCCACAA